GAAAGATGGCAGCCGCATGGGAGCCTTGTGGACAGCAGGTATGAGCCGGGGGTGTGGGGGCGACTAAAGCCTCATGGGAAGGGGGGCGTTCCGGTCCGTCCTTCACGCCCTACCGAGGTCACCAGTTGCCCCCCGCGAGCGGCTCTCCAGCACGGCCACGGCCCCAGAAGCACAAGAACTTAATGCAGAACCCGGCAGCTTGGAGCAGAAAAGTGAACGGACTATGCGTTAATCCAGGCCATCAGGTCTGTCCGGAGGGGAAAGGGTGTTGCCCCAGTCGCCTTCTCCTCTCTGTAAAGAAAGATGGCGGCCACATGGGAGCCTTGTGGACAGCAGGTATGAGCCGGGGGACTGGGGGCGACTAAAACCTCATGGGAAGGGGGGCGTGTCGGTCCGCCCTTCACGCCCTACCGATGCCACCAGTTGCCCCCCACTAGCGGCTCTCCAGCACGGCCATGACTCCAGAGCACAGAAACCAATTTCTTAACTATCTGACTCTCAGTAGAAATACTTCCAGGGTCAATAAGTAAAATAGCAGAAATCCAAAACCAACATATAATTCTTGAACCCAGCTGTAGAAAGCAAATCACTTCACAATGCTATGTCAGCATGTCTGATTTTGGGCGGGGGGGGGGTAAACTCTAAATAATAGTGGTGAATCTTTTATTGAAACAATGAATCTAATCAAAGCAGATAGAGTGTTAACTAGAATTCATCTGCCCCACAGGGACTGGGAGGGGCGGGGGGTGGGGTTTTATTGGGGTTCTTCATGGTAAAAAATAAGTTTTGGTAAAGGGAAATGTACTTGATATTTGCATGACTGAGACCTAAACCTGAAAGCTTTGTAACCTTTCCCATGGTGATTCAATAAATAAATAAATTAATTAAAAAACAAAACAAAAAAAACAAAAAAAAACAAAAAAAATCAGATTTACAGAGAAAAGAACATGATAGACTCAATTATGTCATTTCAATATAAGACAGTCCTCTTAAATTTTTTGTTTTGAAATCCTTTGCTTTTCATTACTGACTCTTTGAAAATTATAAGCTAATTAATTTTGAGAATGTCTCACACATATCATTTCTAACTATTTTCCTGTGATTTTATTTGGTTAAACATTTTTACTAAAAATATTACATTAGCATTCTACACATATCAAATGTCTTATTATTTTTTGATTACATTCAGGGTACACAAGTCTGGTAAAAATACTATGTACATAATATGGTGGAATATTTTTTACCCTTTAATATCAATAGGCACATAGTGCTAAGTTATCTCATTATTGGTGATATCAAATTTGATCATTTGGTTAAAGGGGTATTCTCAGAGACCTCTGATGCAAAGGCACTTCTTTGTAATTAGTAATCTCTGGTATGATACTTTAGATACCGTGTAAATATATTATATCCCAATAATCTGAAGCTCAATGATCTTATAATTCATTGGTTGCCCTTGCTAAAATCAGTCATTATCCAAGTCCTGCAAAATGATGATTTTTCTCATTAAACTATATAATTAAAATGGGTGAAATTTATGGCATATAAATTATGCCACAACATAATTGATTTTTACAAAAATTAAATCAGTAACTTGCAGTCTGTATTTAGTCCATTTCCTGATAGCATATTTTTCCTGCCAAGAAATGAATGACAGCCAAATATTTTATAAATGAGGCAAGGTATTTAAGACCAAGGTGAGCTTCATAAATTTTTTCTATTGAAATGTATGTTTTAATGTAGCTCTCTAATTCTGCCATTCCTTCTTCAATTATTAGCTGACATGCTTCTACAAAGATTTCTCACTATACCTTCTAATTATTCCTCTCTCTCTCATTCACTCAGTCACTCATATACACACCTGGAAAAATCACTCTGGAGCCATGACTTCATTTCAACTCAAAATATTATAATAAATTACTGTCATTATTCTTTTTTATGTTAAAACCATGCCAATTTAGCCATCAGAGCTCAGTCAAGAATAGTCTCGCATTTTTATACAACTCATTAGCCTTTTAACAGTCTTTATTTTCTGGCATGGAAGTGTAAAACTCACTCTGCACTTCTTTGCCTGAGACCTGATATCACTTATTTGCCAAAAAGCCTTGTTTCTTTTAGTACAGAAAGAGAGCAAGGGTCTAGTTGTGCTCATTGCAAGTAGGATGTATGCATTTGCTTATCTCTAAGTATGAAAGAATAAAAATTGATGCAGGGGCTGGAGCAATAGCACAGCGGGTAGGGTGTTTGCCTTGCACGCAGCAGACCCAGGTTCGATTCCCAGCATCCCATACGATCCCCCGAGCACTGCCAGAAGAGATTTCTGAGTGCATGAACCAGGAGTAACTCCTGTGCATCGCTGGGTGTGACCCAAAAAAGCAAAAAAAAATTGATACAGTGAACCAGAAAAATAGCAGCAGAGGTAAGGTCTTCCTTGAATGGCCCTGGTTTGATTCCTGGCACTCGTATGGTCTCCTAAGCACAGAACCATGAGAGCAGAGCCAGGAGTAAGCCATGAGCACAGCCAGTGTGGCTCAAACCCAGAAAAAAAGGAAACTATGAAAAATAATAATACAACTCCTCTTTCAACAAAAATCTTGGTTTCTTTCGTTATTAATATACTATATACACATTTATCATATTATAAATACAATTTGTCCTGTCACTGTCCTCCCATTGTTCATCGATTTGCTCAAGTGGGCCCAGTCACATCTCCATTGTGAGACTTGTTGTTACTGTGTTTGGCATATCGAATATGTCATGGGGAGCTTGCCAGGCTTTGCCCTGCGGGTGAGATACTCTCGGTAGCTTGCCGGGCTCCCTGAAAGGGGCGGAGGAATAGAACCTGGGCCGACCTGGTCGGCTGCGTGCAAGGCAAACGCCCTACCGCTGTGCTATCGCTCCAGCCCTATAAATAAAATATTAATGATAGTAGTATTAAAAGTCTGAAGCAATAATAAATCTATTAAGAATGTTTATGATTTTTCCTAATGCTTTTTACCCTTAAGATTATATATTGAAACCAGATTGAAGTTTGAGAGTGGATATCAAGAATGAAAACTATAAACACTGATGGATTATTTACAAAGATTAAAGTAATATAAAAAGAAAGTGTACTGAGATAATTTATATCTTAGATGGCACTAAAAGAAAAAAGGACATTACTAGTAAGAATGTGCTATCAGGAACACCATTCAAAAGTTACCTGAAATGGATTCTATTTAAAAAAAATAGGTACCATAAGGATAAAAATCCTGAAGACAGAAAAAGAGAAAAGGATCAGAGACAATATTTAAAGAAACAATAGCTGAGAACTACCCATAACCAAGGAAAGAACTAACCATACATATCAGGAATCTAAAAGAATACCCAAATTTATGAATCCAAAACAATATTTACCAAACACATCAAAACACAGAACTCTTAAATTATCAAAACTCAAAAAAAGCTTGGGGAAATAGGTATGGGGGCAGTGTTGCACATCTTGCATATGCATTTATACCAGTTTAATCCTCAGGACCACATCATCCTCCTGCCAAGCACCACAGGGTATAGCCATGCTTGCCCCTGAGCAGTACCTGTATGACCCTGGTTGCCTTTACCATAGATGGGCCTGAACAGGAACCCAGAATTTAATCATCTGACTAGGTTGGCAGAGTATTACCAGGAGTGGTACTAATGGCCCCTGAGGATTGCTTGTGATGCCCCCCCCCCCCTCAAAAATCCAAATAAAGAAAAAAATTGAAAGCTGCTGGGTGGGTAAGTAACACAACAGTAAAGTCTTTTAAGTTTTCATCAAACTTTTTTTAAATTAAAACTAGACTAGGAAAGTGAGGAAAGACAGATTCTCATTATTGAGGCAAAATCGCCACCCAGGAAAGAATATTTTAATTTGCATGAATATCATTCAAATACGATGGACAAGTAAAAACTTTTTCAGACAAACAAAATTTAAAAGATGATCGCCATCAAACCAGTCCTGCAAGAAATTTTGAGGCATTCTGCATGGGGAAAAAAAACCCCAAAGATCACAAAACACTAAGCAAGGTGATAAACAGTAATGTAGTTGTAGAAATATAAACAAGACAGATGTGAGATAACAAGACACAAAAAAGAGTAAAAAGGATACATTATATAGTATTGTAAGTCAGTGACAAATCAACAAAAATAGTTATCTGTATTTTATTGCCAGATTTTTTGTATTTAAATTTGTATTCAATTTTAATGTTTATATTTCTTCCCAAGTTTTTAGGTAAATACTAATTTTTGAGTAAAATTTTATGGTTCAAGTCAAAATTGTACAAAAGGTATAATTATAACAGTCCTGTTTCTATCCTCAACACTTTATTCCTACCAAAGCCACATTTTTTTCAAGCTTACCATTCTTTTGTTCTTTTTAAGAAATGAGAGACCAGAGAGATAGTTTAAAGCACTGGAAAACAAACTTTACATGCAGGAGGGCCAAATTCAACCCCTAGTACCACATGGTCCCCTGAACACCACCAAGTGGCCCCCAAGCACTGTTGGTGTGGCTTCAAAATTTTAATTTTTTAAAAAATTTTTATTAGTGAGACATCATGAGGGACAGTTGTAGTTTTTTTTATTTAATTTTTTTTGGCTTCAAAATTTTAAAAACAAGTAACTATAGTTTTCCAGAACTAATGCAGATAAGCCATGAGTTAAGAAATATCCCTACGAATGCCCTGCCACAGAGGCGGGGTGGGATGGGGGTGATGGGGGTGGTGGTGGGAGGGGTACTGGATCATTGGTGGTGGAGAACGGGCACTGGTGGAGGGATGGGTACTCGATCATTGTATAAATGAAACCCAAGCACAAAAACCTGTTAAGTCTACAACTGTACCTCATGGTGTTTCACTAATAAAAATTTAAAAAAAGAAGACATATCCCTACAACTGAGTTCATGTGATCATGGTACACACAACCTGACTTCCATCACTTTTTCTATTTGCAATATAGCTAGCTTGTATAAAATAAACTCTTACCTGAATTCTCATCAATCCACTGCAGAGAATCCATATGAGTACTGAGGATTTTACAGATATGCTGAAGCTAAAAACAGACAAGATGTTTAGTTTATGATTATCCTAATATGACTAATATTAAAAATAAGACATAAAACTGAATGCTTAGAAATGTTTTTATATAAAGTAGCTTGATAATGGATTAAATATTAATGGACTTTTTGCTATTTCATATTTGTAATGTGCATTACAGGGCTAGAGTGATAGCAAAGCGGGTAGAGCGTTTTCCTTGAACCCAACTGATCCGAGTTTGATTCTTCCGCCTTTGATTCCTCTGCCTTTCTCGGAGAGCCCATTAAGCTACTGAGAGTATCTCGCCCACAAGGCAAAGTCTGGCAAGCTATCTGCGACGTATTCAATATGCCAAACAGAGTAATAAGTCTCACAATGGTACTGGGCCTGCTTGAGAAAATTGATGAACAATGGGAGGACAATGACAGTGACAATGTGCATTACATCTATGTATTAATTTAATCTCATTTTATAATTGAAGGTAAATCATAAAAAATATTTAATTATTACTTTTAAAATACACATAAGAACTGATGATACTGTACTGTTAGGTATCAATATTAACATAAATCAACCAATTCTTCAAAGTATTTTTATAATATATAACAATTTAAAAATATTCATACCTTTTAACTCAGTACATAATAATTTTAGGGATCTAGCCAGAGAAAAATAATAAAATATAAACATGTGCTCACTACATTTTATAATGGCAAAAATGAGAGACAATATATCCAATCCCCAAAATGATTAAAATGTATTGTGTTAAATACTACATTTAATCATCAAAACATTTAATCGCTGTAATATTCCAATGAGCTGGAGGGCCCACAGCGGTAGGGCATTTGTCATGCACGTGGCTGTCCGAGCCAACCCGGGTTCGATTCCTCTGCCCTTCTCGGAGAGACCGGCAAGCTACTGAGAGTATCTCACCTGCACTGCAAAGCCTGGCAAGCTACCCTTGACATATTCGATATGCCAAACACAGTAACAACAAGTATCACAATGGAGACGTGGCTGGGCCCGCTTGAGCAAATCGATGAACAACGGGAGGACAGTGCTACAGAAAGTGCTACAGAATATTCCAATGAAAGACTATGGTGCCATCAAAATATGTGCTAAAATACTGTTTAAAATGAAAGAAGTAATTTGACAAGTATAACAAAAAAGATTTGAAAGAAATACACCAACAAATTAGGAGAGCACTGGTAGTATAAGTTATTTAATTTTCTTAACAGCTTGTATCTTCTAAGTTTAATAATTGGATATATATATTTGTAATTAAAGATTAAATTTTTTAATTTAATATTCTTAATTAATCCCTTTTAATGAATTTTCTAGAATAGATAAGTATAATACTGAAAATGGGAAGAAATGAAAATGGTACCAAACTTAAAAGAATTGCATGAAATGAAAGCAGAAAATCTAATTTATTTTAATATGATATAGTTTGTTGCAGAAATAATGCGTGTTTGTAGAAGAATCACTGTCACTGTCACCGTCCTCCCATTGTTCATCGATTTGCTCAAGCAGGCCCTGTAAGTCTCCATTTTGAGATTTGTTGTTACTGTGTTTGGCATATTGAATATGTCAAGGGTAGCTTGCCAGGCTTTGCCATGCGGGCGAGATACTCTTGGTAGCTTGCCGGGCTCTCCAAGAGGGGCAAAGGAATTGAACTCGGTTTGGCTGGGATGGCTGCGCGCTGTGCTATCGCTCCAGCCCTTGTAGAAGAATATGATTAAATATTATACACCATGACATGAACTCACTAAGAAAAAATTTAGATATTATGCAGTCTCTATCTCCCTGCCAAAAAGATAAAAAAATAAATGAGCAATTCTTGTTGTGAATTGTGTATTAAATATAGTTGCTATTTTTCTACTCAGGTGCATTGCACATAGTAGCAAGGCTTTGTTGATCTGGTTATAATAAATTGTGAGCAATAATATTATTGTTCAGCCAACATTTTCTCTTCCTCTTGTCCAATGATTTATGCTAAGAAAAGAAATAAATTTTTGCTTATATCTTGCTGCTTTTTGTCCTGCTATCAAGCAGCAATTACCCTTTTATTCACTCATCTTAAACATCTCAATCACCTTTTACCAGTAAAAAACAAATACGAAAGGCTCAGACCATTTACTATCCACCTCTAAAATAAAACAGTCCACGACTAAATAGAGAGAAAGAATAAGGATAAGATTAGTTTCCTTTGACTTATTCTGCTCAGAGCTTTAAGAGAGAGAGAAAGAGAAAGAGAGGGAGAGAAAGAGAGAGAGAGAGAGATAGAGAGAGAGAGATAGAGAGAGAGAGAGAGAGAGAGAGAGAGAGAGAGAAGACTAGATGCCAGCTCACTGGGCTTTATGCTTAATCTGTATTCCTATGAACAGAAATTCAATTACAATTTTTTTAATTATATAATCACTTATAAACTAATAATTCATTAAAAATAAAACCTGGACTAGAGAGATAGTGCAAAGGTTAAGGTGATTTCCCTACATGCAGCCTACCCTGGTTTGATTCTAAAGTACACTACAGTACTGTTGGGATGGAACCTGGAGCAATCCAGAGTAGTCCTCAGAATTGCTGAATATAGCCCCAAACTCCCCAAATAAAGTAAAATAAAATAGAACATACTTTCAGTTAACTCTTGTTAACTGAAAAACATCTGTGTGAACACAGGATGATATTATTGTTCTTTTGTGGGGGGTGGTTTTGGGGCCACTCCGGGGAGTGCTCAGGGTTTACTCCTAGCTCTTCACACTGGGGTCTTTCCTGTTGGGGATCAGAGATCCATCTGGGGTGCCAGAGATCAAACTTGGGTCAGATGCTTGCAAAGCAAGCGCCCTGCCCACTGTACTATCTCTCTGGCCCACACAGGGTGGTGGGCATGAATAATCCTATACTAATTATGTTTTTGTTCATTTTAGATAAATAAAGTAGAAAACAATATAAATTTTATAACTAGGCTTTCAAAATCATTTAGTCCACATGTGAGATTTTCGACAAAAAGAACCAAGATTCAGAAATATTGTCATCTCAACTATACCATGCTATCTCTTTACAATCTTTAAAAATGGTCACGGTCACGGTCATGGTCACGGTCCTCCCATTGTTCATCGATTTTCTCGAGCAGGCCCAGTAACGTCTCCATCGTGAGACTTGTTACTGTGTTTGGCATATTGAATACATCACGGGTAGCTTGCCTGGCTTTGCTGTGCGGGCAAGATACTCTCAGTAGCTTGCCAGGCTCTCCGAGAGGGGCGAAGGAATCGAACTCGGGTCGGCCATGTTGGCTGTGTGCAAGGCAAGCGCCCTACCCGCTATGCTATCGCTCCAGCCCATCTTTAAAAATACTTAGCAATATATCTATAAAACCAACTTTATACGTTTGAACAAAAATCTTGATAAAATTATATATGTGTATATATGTATATATATATTCTCACTAATCCAGATGCTGGATCTATTCATAATTATAGGCAACTAATATAAAGTACAAAGGGCACTCCTACAATGGTAGATTCCTTTTACCATTACAGTCATGGAGCAGGAATTTAAAAAAAAAAACAGGGGAAGACTCCATTTAGCTTCCAAGACAATAGGAAAAAGTAGAGAAAATAAGCTCTTATGTGTATACACAAAGGGGTGAGGGGGTGAAAAAATTGTTATTTTGGAGCAATGCTGAGCAGTCTCAAGGCTTAGTCCAGTCTCTGCACTCAGGGACTTGGAGGACCATATATGGTACTAGGGATCACACATGAGTTGGCTACATGCAAGGCAAGTGCCCTACCTGCTGTACTGTCACTCTGGCTCAAATCCTTTCTTATCATCAAATTAATTCTAGGTATATCAGCCTTAACTGTATTTTCCTATGCTATAACACATTTACATTATGAATTAGGTAGGATTCTACAAATAGATCAGAAACCTAGTATAATAATTTTAACAGAATTTCTTTGAGAATTTTGTCAAAAATTACATTTAAATTTCAAAGCACTGACATATCAAAATTTTAATATCTAACCTCAATATAAATTAAGAATTGCATGGCTACACCTAACACACTTATACATATGCATGAATAATATAATTATTTTTAATGAAGCTATGATAAACAGAACATTAAATGCAGGGATGTTAAATATGTGAAAAACGGAGAAAACCAAAAAAAAAGTTACAGAGAAAGTCATTTTTATCCTTCTGAAAAGAGCCACCAAAAACTCAACCTTTTCTGCTTCCAAATAATTCTAGTCCCATTAACTATACCCACATCCAAAACTTCACATAAGAAGCAGATATTAAACGTTCTAGAATAAAGCAGAAGATGACTAAATAAAGGATTCATAGAAACTAATTTTGTGGTAAATATTTGTTGTCTAAGTACATAAAGCTGCTAACGTACCGGATCAGCAGAGTCAACAGGAGCTCCAAAAGAATTCAGGTGCTCAGTAATCTTCTTGAGATCTTCTTTCATATGTGTCAGCTGAGTATCTATATTTTCTGCTGTCTTGTAACTGAACATGCAGGTAAAATAAAGAGATTTACAAGAAATGAGTCTTCTACTACAGTTTGTTATTGACATGCAAACATTTTACTGCCAACTGTTTTTATCCCAATTCCCGTACCTTCTCAGTGGGTCTCAGTTATTACTAATGGCACCACATTCATAACCTTATTATTTTGATATACTAAAAATGACTCCACAGGTGAAGGTGTTTATTGACTTTGTCATTTTACAGTTACTTATTTACCAAATGAGACAATGCATCAGGGAATTCTGAAGCAAAGAAGCTCTTTTCAGGTGTAAAAATAAACCATAGCATATTTAGACATATGAAAACTATTTGGTGTTTAGCATAACTCAGTAAGTTTTAAGATGTCTTCAATTATCTTAAATACATAATTTTTCATAGTAAAACTTATTCAAAGAGACATCCATAAAGAATAGCACTGTAGCACTGTCCTCCCGTTGTTCATCGATTTACTCAGGTGGGCACAAGTAACGTCTCCATTGTGACTTGTTATTGTTTTTGGCGAATCGAATATACCACAGGGAGCTTGTCAGGCTCTGCTGTGCGGGCGGTATACTCTCGGTAGCTTGCCGGGCTCTCCAAGATGGGCGGAGGAATCGAACCCGGGTCGGCCACGTGCAAGGCAAACACCCTACCAGCTGTGCTATCGCTCCAGCCCATCCATAAAGAATGTTTTAATAAAATTGAGTGTCACAATACTCAAAAGCAGGAGATCTACTAATTTGACAACATTTTGCCACATTTCAAAATTTCCCAGCCAAATTTTATATACACATACTTATTTAACCAAATGAATATGTCTATTAAATCTAAAGTGAAAAGAGGCTTTTTCGCTCTTAAGGTTTACAAAGATTCAATTAGATTTACTGCTATCTCTCTATTAATATTCTGTCCCAAAGTACTTATTAGCAATCAGTTGTCTAGATGGTTATGATTTTATTAAAATATTCAACCACAATATAAATCTGAGAATAGAACTAATGTTTCAATAATTTCTTAAGATTAGAGTTGGGATCTAATGGCCAAAACTGTTTATGTGAATTGCGGATGTGGCTCAAAGCATATGGCAATGCTTGGGTTCAATTCCATGGTTCTATTGAGCATGACCTCTAAAGCACCATCAAAAGCAATAGGTCAAAACTGCACCTTTCCATAAAATGATAGGATGCATAAAAACAACTTAAAATAGCGGCCAGAGTGATAGAAGAGCAGGCAGGGCACTTCCCTTGCATATGACAGATCTGACTTCAATCCTTGGTATCCTATTGGTCCCCCAAACCCCACGAGCAGTGATCCCTGAGTGCAGAGCTAGAAGTCCTGAGCACCGCTGGATGTGACCTTGCATCTAAAAAAATCTCAAAAGAAATATGCTCAAAAGTGAAATGCAGAGACCATCATCAGGTAAGGTACTTGCTTTGCACACAGATGACCCATATGGTTCCCTAAGCCTCTCAGGAATAATCCCTGAGCACCTCCACGTATGGCCCCAAAACCAAAAGGCAAAAAAGCAAATTTCAAAAGCAGAAACAGAAAGGACTACAGTCAACAAAATACCTGTACTTAATACATTTACTTCATTCACAAATTAAGTTACCTTACTTTACTAATAAGGCACCATGCATCCAATTTTGTCTCAATCTAGTTTAAATAACACTTATATACAATCTTGACTAACAATACTTTGTATCAAATCTTGGTTTCAGCGATAAGAATAAGGTAAAGGTTGATCGTCGATTTGCTCGAGCAGGCCCAGTAACGTCTCCATTGGAGACTTTGTTGTTACTGTGTCTGGCATATCGAATACTCTCGGTAGCTTGCCGGGCTCTCCGAGAGGGGCAGAGGAATCGAACTCGGGTCGGCCATGTTGGACGCTTGTAAGGCGAATGCCCTACCCGCTGTGCTATAGCTCCAGCCCAGCGATAAGAATACTAGCAATAAATTGATCAAAGGTAAAGCCTAGAGTGAATAATATACATATAACAATTGTTTGTTCATTTGGGGATCATACTTAGCTATGCTCAGGGCTTAATACTGACTCTATTCTCAGGGATTATTCCTGATGGTGCTGGAGGGGATCATCTGCAATGTCTTGTATCAAACATTGGTTGGACCCATGCCCTATCCATTATACTATCTCTTCAGATCCTAAGATTCAATTTTTGAAAGCTACGTGGCTTGCCTCCAAAACTATCTTTAAAAGAATGTGATTACTCTCGAATAGTTAACTGCATGAACAATAAACAAGCTTGAGTCCATATAAATGATGCCACACACCTAAACTTTGTATTTCTAATTTAGGAATAAAATTTAAGAATATGAAAATGTTATGATGGTCATGTATATGCTTGAAATTGGTAATAGTTTACAAGATACTGTAAAACAAAATTGTCAAAATAATTACTTGATTTTCAGCATCATGAAAACATAAGCAGAAAACAGTCAAGTAAGCTGATAAATGACAAACATAAGAATTTGGTTTTGTCTACCAATTTTATTCTGACTTTAAATTTATTTTCTGCCTTTTTAATAAATGAGTTCTGGTTCGTTTCTCGATTTTTATTCAGCTACTTACGTCTTTTCAGTAATATGATCTACATGCTGCAGAAAAATGGACCCATTCTGGTCTTTCAGAGAGTCTTCTAAAGGGATCAAAATATCTTCAAGTTCCTTTTGCTGTGACAAGATAAAATCCAATTCATGTCCAAGCCTGAGAAAAATTAAAGTTAACAGAAAGTTGATTTAGAGTGACAATTCTCAATAAACCACTATAGGGAAAAAATCTCAACTGACAAATCTTTAAAATTCAAACTACAAAATATAAGGTTCTACCTTTTCTGATCCTTCTTCACTTTTTCCACTTCTCCATGTAATGCTGTAATCTTATATAAGAAAATAAAAAGTTATTTTCACTTATGTTACAATTTCATTAAAATTTTTATTGATGGGATGTTGTGATTTAAAATACTGTCACTTGGCTACATGTAAAACTGACCTCTGACCTCTATCTAACGCCATGCACAAAAGTCAGATCAAAATAGATTAAAGACCTCCATATCAGAACTGAATCCATATGAATGAAAATGTCAGCAGGATCCTCCAGGACACTGAAGCTAAAGGCATCTTCAAAGATAAAACAGGACTCACCAAGCAAGTAGAAACAAAGATTAACAAATGGGACTATATTAAACTAAGAACATTCTGCACCTCAAAAGAATCAGTGATCCACCACAGAGACTGGCTCACATCCACAAGAACAAAAGCAACCAATGCTGGCGTGGATGTGGCGAGAAAGGGACACTTCTTCACTGTTGGTGGGATTGTCGGCTGGTCCAACCCTTTTGGAAAACAGTATGGACGATTCTCAAAAAATTAGAATTTGATCTCCCATTTGACCCAGCTATAGCACTCCTGGGAATATATCCCAGAGAGGCAAAAAGGTATAGTCGAAGTGACATCTGTAATTGTTTGTTCATTGCAGCACTCTTTACAATAGCCAGAATCTGGAAAAAAACTGAGTGCCCGAGAACAGATGACTGGTTAAAGAAACTTTGGTACATTTACACAATGGAGTACTATGTATGTAGCTGTTAGAAAAGATGAAGTTATGAAATTTACATACAAGTGGTACTACATGGAAAGTATCATGTTAAGCGAAATGAGTCAGAAAGAGCAGGTTAGACACAGAAAGATTGCATTCATCTGGGGAACATAAAGCAACAAAAAGGGAGACTAACACCCAGGAATGGCTGAGATTAGTACCAGAAATTTTACTCCATGACTTGAAGGCCAGCCACACGTGCTAGGTGAAAAAAGGAAGCTCAGATAGAGAAGAGAGCACCAAATAAAGGGTGTTGTGACGACCCTCCCAGGGTGGGAGAAGCATGCTAAAAGTAGTCTATAGACCAAACATGATTGCCACTCAATGCCTCTCTTGCAAAACACAGTACCCCAAAGAAGAGAGAGAGAACAAGGGGGAATACCCTGCCACAGAGGCAGGGTGGGACGGGGGGATGGGGGGTGGGGGGGATGCTGGGATCCGTGGTGGTGGAGGATGGGCACTGGTGGAGGGATGGGTACTTGATCATTGTATAACTGAAACCCAAGCATAAAAATTTATAAGTCTATAACTGTATCTCATGGTGTTTCACTAATAAAAAATAAATAAATAAATAAATAAAAATAAACAAAAAATAATAAAGTCTTGATGTAGAGGAAAAAAAAGAATCAGTGACCAAGATACAAAGATAGCTCATGGAATGGGAAAAACTATTCACACAATACCCATCTGATAAGGGTTACTATCAAAGATATACAAAGCACTGATAGAACTTTATAAGAAAAATCATACAATCCCATCAAAAAATGGGGAGAAGAAATGTCAGAAACTTCCCCAAAGAAGAAATTAGATGGCCAAAAGCACAAGAAAAACTGCTTCACATCACTAATTATCAGGGAGATGCAAGTAAAAACAACAATGAGATATCATCTCACACCACAGTGACTGGCACACATCCAAATGAACAAGAACAACCAGTGCTGGTGTGAATGTGAGGAAAAGGGACCCTCATTCATTGCTGGTAGAAATGCCGACTGATCCAGCCTTTATGGAATGCATACATTCCTCAAAAAACTAGAAATTAAGCTCCCATTTGACCCAGCAATATCACTTCTGGGAATATACCTGGGGTCTAAAACACACAGCAGAAACACCATCTGCCCTCCTCCTATGTTCACTGCAGCACTATTCACAATAGCCAGAATCTGGAAACAATCTGAGTGCCCAAGAACAGACGACTGGATAAAGAAACTATGGTATATCTACACAATGGAGTACTACACAGCTGTTAGGAAAAAATGAAGTCATGAAATTTATCTATAAATGGATGGACTTGAAGAGTATTTTGCTGAGTGAAATGAATCAGAAGGAGATAGATATAGAATGACTGCATTCACTTGTGGAATATAAAAAATAATATGAAACTAATATCCAAGGCAGTAAAAATGGGTCAGGAGGACTTGTCAGTGGTTGGAAATTACCACAAGCATGTGGGAGATGGAGGGTAATTAAGATGGAAGAGGGTACATTATAACAATAGTAGTTGGGAATGATCACTCTGTACAAAAACTGAGTGTTAAAGTAGGTAAAGGGACATACACAATAATTTTTCGGCAGCTGTATTCAAACAATAATTCCAAAAGTGAGAGAAAGATAAAGAGTGAAGAGAGGTTCCTGCCATAGAGACAGGCTGGGGTAGGGAGTGGTTTAGGGGAAGAGCTGAACTGGGGACATTGATGGTGGGAAATTACATTAGTCGAGGGATGGGTATTGGAACATTGTATAACTGAAGCCCAATCATAAACAGCTTTGTAATGCTCTATCTCACAGTGAATCAATAAAATAAGAAATTAATAATTTAATTAGCAACAAAATGAAAACTGTCACTGACAGTTTCATGCATACACTATTTCAGGGAAATATTGATTTTTCTCAACTATACTTAAAAAACAAAAAAAATCCTGTTTTCATTGCACTAATCACCTAAGGAAAATAGTCTTAAAATTTTCCAGCAATATTGGATTAGAATGTTAACTAACAAAACATGAGCTATTCTCATACAGTTATCTGAAAAACATTCATACCTTTTCACCATTCTCCATCACTGAAAGGTCCCATGCATTGATCTGAGAGGCATAATGAAGAAAATTCTTTTCTTCATCATCAAGCTCCATGTTACACTTGTTTACCATACTCTGTAGCTCATGGTATGTCATCACAGGAGTTTTGATGGAACTGAAAAGAAAAACTATATTATGATCATATATATACATATATATGTTTTAAAATAAAACCACTCTAACTGCTAAAGTTTATTTAAAAAAAAACAAGCATTCAATGTTTCTGGAAATGATCCTAAGGGAATAAAGAAAATTAAAGTAACATTTATTAAGAAATCTAAAGACAGCAAGATTTGTTCCACAATCTGCTCATTCCCTTCCACTTCAGCACAGCAGGATGGAAGTTCTATTCTGGGTGGATGAGCCAAGTAAATAACACTACATCTCCTCTACCCCCAGACCTAGTTTGATCAAAGTCATCTGTTCCCTTGTAAAAGCAGTATCTACAAAACTGGACAGCTGATGATTTATCCCCCATTGGGCAATACCACACAGAGTCCAATTACCCTGCTGAGTAATATCAAAAAGACAGAGTAGATAACTGATGTTAGTTCCTCTGACAAGAACATGCAATGCTCTGATTCTTCAGCTAAGACAATGTCACCTGGGCTGGGTGAAGAAGTGATCACCAATTCATTGTTCAGCAGAGGTAGACAATATTTTGATTTTCTATTAACAAGATTCAGTAACATCCCAAACTTCTATCTTGTGGCAACAAACTCAAGGCAGAATGAAGCAGATAGCTAATTATCATTACATTTCTCTCACCATTTGCTTTGAGTGTCAATGGGACCTGAACCTCTGCAGCGACTTGTAGAGTTCTCTAAGACTGAACAAAGTACTCCAAGTTAGGGCCAGAAAAGACTCCACTTCCCACCTCTGCTGGTGTCAGTGTGCTCGATGTTAAGCTTAATCTCCACATGCATTTGAAAATCCAAGCCTGATGAAAACAGGCAAAGCTGTATGACTCAACACTCTTCCCTCTTTTCAAAGTCCTATGTTAGTGTGCCCAGTTGGTAATTAACCTTCCATATCAATTCAACATCAGTGAGGAGGAAGAAAGTAACAGAAGGCAGAATAGTGGACATTCTGCCTCCTCTTTCTTCTTATGTAGGTGGGGCACAAGAGGGAGCTAAAATTCTACTTCCACTCTTCTGTGACTAAACATCATGAATTAGTACTCCTTCTCCTTGTTTTGGGATGCTGTAGTCCAGCGGGAATTCAGTTTACATTCCCACTTACAAGCAAGGAAGTGGTGGAACACAATGCTTCTTCCACTGAGAATTAATCAGAAGAATAGAGCAAGAAACCAAACTTCTAGACTACTCATCTGCAGACTAAGTGTAAGTCGGTGCTTCATGTTTGCTAAGGTAGTTTGGGCAAGATGAAGTGTTAAGATAAACATACAAACATTCATCCAACCCTTTACTACACCTCAACAAAAAGACTGCCTAAAGACATTGAAGATATAAAATATGATTCAGACTATCATAATAATTAGCATTTCCACTGTAGGATAAAAATTATACCCATCTTATCAAGAACCAGACAAAACACATCTCAAAAGAAAAAAAGATTGTTTTATCCACAAATGCCAAGCTTGAGAGGTATATATCAGATGTTGGAATTATCTGAAAAGAACTTTTAAGCAACCATTAAAAATAATAGAATGAGCAATTCTCCTGCAATAAATGAGAAATAGAAAATCATGGTAAGAATATGGATGTTATGGGAAGCAAAACAAAGTTAAAGACTGAATAATAAATTAACAAAAACTCAATGGAAAGATTTTATATTAGAGTGGATACATGACAGATGATAAAATCAGTGAACTTGAGGGCAGATTAATAAAATTTATAGAAGAGCAATGAAAAAAGTTATATAAAATCTCAAGAACCTGGAAAAACATAATAAGAGAGGTAACATATAATTGGAGGATGATATAAAACAGAGTAAATGACAAGAATATTCTGAAAAACACCATGCATAAATATAAAATAGAGGAAATAAAAAGAGAGGAAATTACATTAGATATTTTTAAAAACATAAAGGTTAAATAAAAATACACAAATTTGGCAAAACATTAATACCTACAGATTCAAGAAGCTGATCAGACCACACACAGAATAATTCAAATATAACACAATATGCTTAATAAAGATAGCAATAATTACATTTTGGAAAACTAAAGGCAAAGAAAGAAAATATTGAAAGTTGTTAGAAACAACATTTACTTAAACTAGAGCATAAATTTGAATAAGCAGACTTATCATCTTTAATGGAGGCTAAAAGGAATTGTCATAGCATTTTTTTTCTTTTGATTTTTGGGCTACACCTGACTGTTACTCCTGACTCTGCATTCAGAAATTACTCATGGAAGTGCTCAGGGGACTTCCTGATGCCAGGGACTGAACGTAGTTTGGCCACTTGCAAAGCAAGCACCTTATCTGTTGTACTATCTCTCTGGGCCCTTATAGCATTTTCAAAGGAAAAGAAAAGGTTGACCACAACTTCTAGATCCAATGGTAATGTTTTTCCATACAAAATAAAATTAAGAGAATTTATTACTAGAAAATCTACACTTGAGAAGTAAATAGAAATTAAATAGAGTAAGACTTGGAATGTAATAAAAGAAAGAAAAAGAGCAAAATCAAAGGCAAATATAATACAACATTCTACTTCTTATGAGTTTCTTAATTCATATTTGACCATTGAAGCAAAAAGAATAACTTTAATATGGTCCTCACTGACAAAGTGGGAATATTTTAGATAATTACACTTTGTGATTAAAAGGGTAAATAGAAGTAAGGTTTCTACATTCCACCAGTATGTGACAAAATGTCAAAATGGTTAGATAGATGCTATGTATATTTATTTTAAAGCCTAGAATACCACAAGAAAAATATACAAAGCAATATGCTCAGAAATTCTTTTACTAGAACAAGATGGAATCTAATAAAAACCCTTAAAAACCATGAGAAAGTTTTAATAGAAAAACAAAAAACATAGTATCAAAAAACACTAAGATCAGGCACAAGAAAAGATTACCCACTCTCACCACTTCTATTCAAAATAATAATGGAAGTAACTGTCATATCAATTTGGAAAGAAAAATATATTACAGGCATCCAGATAGGATAGTAAGAAGTCAAGTTCTAACTATTAGCTGATGAAATACTACATTTAAAAAAATAGATTTGTATAGAAAAGTGACAATCTATAAAATCAACATGCAAAGTCCATGACTTTCCTATATGCAAATAATGAAATAGAAAAGGTTAAAAAACAATCCCATTTGCTATACTGTCTCATAAAATAAGGTATTTAAAGAGTCAGTCTAGCAAAATATGCATATAAAAGGAAAACTACAAAACACTACTGAAAGGAATAAAACAGGAAATTTAAGCACATCCCCTGCTCATGTATTGGGAGACTTAACATTGTCAAGACAATACTTCTCAAAGCATTAGACTTAATGTATTCCCTATAAGTATACTCGTGGAATTTTTCAAATAAATAGATCAAACACTCCTGAAATTCAAATGGGACACTTCCTCCCTACTTACCTAATAAAGGAATACTCTGGAAAAAGAATATGATAGATATCACATTCCCCAACTTCAAACTGTAGTACAAAGTGGTTATAATTAAAACAGCATAGTATTGGAATAAAAATAGACACTCAGATCAGTAGAATATAACTGAAAGTGCAGATAAAAACCCTCAGATATACCGCCAGTTAATCTTTTGACAAAAGAGCAAAAATAGAAGGTGGAGTAAGAAAAACCTCTTCAGCACCTGGAGTATGGAATACTGATCCACCACATGAAAAATAAATGAACCCAGACCTTTTTCTAATGCCATGCATAAAAGTCAAATCAAAATGAATTAAAGACCTTGATATCCAACGTAAATCATAAGGCACATAGAGAAAAACATAGGCAGAAGACTATGACACTGAAGCTAGAGGCATCTTTAATGACAAAATGCCAGGCAACTGCAAAGAAAAATAAACAAATGGGACTACATTAAATCAAGAATCTTTTGCATTTTAAATAAAATGACCAGAATACACAGACAACCTATATATTGAGGAAAATTATTTTTCCTAGCACTCATCCGATAAGGGGTTAATATCCAAGATATATGAAACACTGGTAGAAATTTACAAGAAAAAAATCCAACCCTGTTGAAAACTGGGGAGAAGAGATGAACAGAAACTTATTCAAAGAAGAAATACAAATTTCCAAAAGGAATATGAAAAATGTTCTAGATCACTAATCATCAAGGAAATGCAAATGAAAATAACAATGAAATATCACCTCACACCATAGATAATGGAACTCATAAAAAAGAACAACAACCAGTGTTGACATGGATGTGAGTGAAACAGGGATCCTCATTCAATACTAATGGGAATGTCAATTGGTCCAGTCTTTTTGGAAGACAACATGGACATTCCTCAAAAACATCCTAGGATTTGAGCTTCTATATGACCCAACAATTCCAGTCCTGGTAATTTACCCAAAAGGTCCAAACACAACGCAGAAAGACATCTCCACTTCTGTGTTCATTATAGCACTACTGACAATACACAAAATCTGGACACAACCCAAGTGCCCAAGAACAGATGATTAGATGAAGAAGCTACAGTATATATACATGATAGAATACTACTTGGACATAAAAAAAGATGAAATCATGCGATTTGCTTATGCATGCAGGGATCTGGAAAGTATCATGCTGCGGAAAGTGAGCCAGGGGGAGAGGGAGAGACATAGAATGATCTCTCATATTGAGATATAGAGACACAGTAGGTAAATAACTAATGCCTAAATGCAATAGAAACAAAAAGCATGAAAACTGGTACTTAGTATTAATCTTGCTGCTGTGGGGACAGTTGAGGAAGGTGGCAGAGAAGGGACCACCATGTAGATAATGGAGGAAAGTGGCACTCTGGACAAGAACTGGGTGCTGAAAAGAGGTAAAGTGATATGCATGACATGCTATCAGTAACAGCATTGTAAACCACAGTACTTAAAAAGGAAAACGAAAAGAAAAAATTGCCTGCCATAGAAGCATGCTGGGTGGTGGGGTGGGAGGCAAACTGTTTAC